AGTGCACTAGTCCCTCCTGCTTAAATCAACCCCACAACATAATTCTGCCACTTTAAATATTTACTCCACAAACCCAACATCTATATCATTAAACGAATGAGGTTCATGGAACTTGAACTCATCAGGGTTTTTGTAAAAGTTGTGTTGAGAGGCATCAGCTCTATCAACTGAGCCACTGTGCCACCAAAAGCCAAATCTAACATACAGTATAAAAATCATTCTATAGAGACAAGTCAGTGCTTTAGATCACATTCATACACTGATGGGACACACATCAAATACAATGGGGGTTCAGTGTCTTGCCCAGGGACACTTTGACATATGACTGTATACTGCCAACTCTCTGGTTAGAGGAAGACTCCTTAGCAAGATTTTATACAAGGTCAATGGAAAACACAAAGATAAACACAAGTGATATCTAGAATGACTGTTTTTAGCAAATCTTGTTCTGACTTTAACCATTCTATCTGCAGATGAACAGCATGTCATGAAAACCTAGGTCATTAAAGTATGTTATGAATTACTTGCTTAAACATAAAAGTATTAGTTCCATTACATCTCCCCCATCTGATCATTAAATCACCAATTAAATGATCAATAAAACAAAAAAAAAACTCTTTAATGTATTTAAAAAAACATGTCAACATAAACATAAGTATATGTACTTTTCTGAAAACCCAACCCCAGTAATTCAATTTTTATTCCTCCCACAGTAATTACTGACCCCAAAACATAGTTATCACACAAAGGTCTTTGGATCATCTTGAACACAAACAGGCTCGTCTGTTTTGTTATATGGAAGAGTCAGAGGTGGTGGTGGGGCTCTGTGAAGCTTTGTAGATCTTGGTTTAGTTCCTGGGGCTGGAAGATGAGAGTTAGCTGGATTTGGGCATGGGGTTTGTTTGATATTATTCTTGCCAGGTTATTTCATGTTGTTAGTAAAATCCAAGAGGGGGCATTCCACTTCCTGTCCTGTTGGGGTCTCAGAGTCCAAGAGATCTTATGTTTGTGATGCTGGTTCTGCAGCTTGAAATAACTCCTTTCCCTCTCTCTGGTTCTGATTCTGCAGCAGTCTCCTTATCAGTAACTGGCATGCTGTGTTCCACCGATATCTCAGTTTTCTCCAGCTGTCCTTCAGACATCAGCTGTTGTGGTTTTTCCTGTTGTTTGTTTCCAGCCAGAACTTTGTTCAGGAAAAACTTCATGTTTGAAGCCAGAAGCTGTGCTCCAGTTTGATTCAGAGTCATTCCATCAGACCTGAAGAGATGTTTTCTTTCACAGAAGAGATCAAAGTTATCCACAAAACTCACAGAGTGGTCAACACAGGACTTTTGCAAAAAACCATTACGGGCAAACAGTCTGCTTAACCTCTCAGCCCCTCCTCTGGCTGCAGGAATGGGCCCACCGATGAACACATCCATGTTGAGATTTTTAGCTGCATTCAGCAGCAGAAAAAAATCCTTCTTCAGGATTTCTGACTGTCGGTTCATAACTTCATCACTTCCTGTATGAACGATGAGTGTCTTCAAAGTTGGATACTCAGCTGTTATTTCCAGAATCACACTTTATCAGCAAAACTCAGAACTTTGACTTTTTTCATGTTCCAGAAGCCTCTGATCTCATTCACCATTTTATCTGTGATGATCAGCATTTCTTGATTCTTGAAAGTCTCTCTTTGGACTTGTTTTGGCTTTGAGCTGGATCTGGTCTCAGGTCCTTCTCTGAGGTCAGCAGATGAACTTTGTTCAGACTCAGTTTCTTCCAGTGGTGTGAATCTGTTTTGAAGAAACACTGCTTCATTTCTCTGGCTGTTATCAGGTGTTTTGATTACAGCCTGTTGCTTTCTTCTCCTTGCTGAAGGAGAAAAAACATTTCTCTGTAATTCTGGCCATTCAATGTCATCTAAGAGCTGAATCCTTCCTGAGAGATTTTTTGGTCTTGCACAAAGAGAGTTCCATACAGTTTTACCCTCTGAAGCAGCTTCCATCTCCTTGTCCATTGGATCTCTCATCTCAGCCTTCTCACCCATTTTAACACATGTTGAGTCCTCCAAAGCATTCATCTCTTCCAGACAATGAATTTTGAGCTCCAACACTGTCACCTTTTGGAGAAGCTGGTAGAAATCATCTTTGGAAAAGAAAGGAAGCATCTTGAAGCTTTTCTGTACTCACTCTCAGCTGATGATGTTTCAAAAATCTTCTCAGGTTCTTCAACAGCTAAAAATAAAAATTCAGTGTTCTTTTTTTATTCAAGATCATCCATCACGATCATCACCAGCGTATATCTGTTGTTAAAAACAATTTACCATAAAAAGGTTCTTTTCATCCAGCTGGAGTCATGGTCCTGAGCAGTCCAGTCCTTGGTCACTCATATAAGTCCACCTGCAATGTGGCCTTGGTCCATCGATCTCCTAGTAATCCTGCTGACAACACCAACTGTTATGGCAATATTTATTTAACAAAGACAGAAATACGTGGTCCAAGAATGAAGGTACTCCGTGAGATGATCAGCTGAGTTTTATTGCAACAACATGAAACACAGAGAACAACCTGGCCTGTCTCTGTGCCTCTGCTTCTCTCTGTCACTGTCTCTCCACACTACTCACTGTGTCTCGAGAGGCCTCGTATATACTGTATATTAACAAACACCATTATGTCATCTTAGCAAGATTTGATACAAGGTCAATGGAAAACACAAAGATAAACACAAGTGATATCTAAGAATGACTGTTGTTAGCAAATCTTGTTCTGACTTTAATCATTCTATCTGCAGATGAACAGAATGTCATGAAAACCTAGGTCATTATGAATTACTTGCTTAAACATAAAAGTATTAGTTCCGTTACAATACATTTAATGGAATGTAATCACACAATATTTACAATAAGTGAAAAGAGGAGTGCAATGCTTCAAATGGAAACTAAGGTGTTTCATTGTTGAACAAGTTTGTTAAATAATCTGGCTGTTGACGGGATGAAAAACATTCTGTAGCGTTCAGTCCTGTGCTGTAGATATGACAGGTCTCACAGTGTCATGAAGGGGATGGATTTTCAGCAAAGTCCTGCCTCCAGTGGAGCTCTCTCTCCTCAATAAATGGAGGTAACTTTAGATCAACTGAACCGGCGTTGGGGTRTGACCTTCTTCCTGTCATAAACAAAGTCACTGATGATCTCCCGGTATTCCTGGTTGTTCCTGTCTGTCAGACACACAACCTACGATGGGTGGGTCGTCAGAAAACCTCTGGATGTAGCAGCTGTCTGTGTTATGTTTGACGGCTGAGGTGTTCAAGATGAAGGGGGAGAGAACTTGAAGGACCACTATGCTGCTGACTGCCACATCAGACACAGTCACCATCCAATTCATGATCTGCATCAAGTGGAAGGTCATAGCGACTAGCATGAAGTGGTTAGGCTCCCTAGGGTGTTGAGTTTTAGAAACTAGAACCACACAGGAAGTCTTGCACAGGACAGGTTCTCTCTCCTCACACAGTTCCCGAAGAGTCTGGGGCTGAGACCATAAGGTCCGGGGGCTTTTCTTGTTTCAATCTGCAGGAGCTCCCTCCTCACCTGGTCTGCATTGATGTAGATTGTGGGGGTGAGGGTGGATAAGGCTGCTTGTGGATCCAGAGGAGTAGAGGTGGGTGTAGCTGATGATGGTGATCCTCTTTTTAAATTTTTTTTATTTTTGGGCGGGGGGGGGGGGGTGGGGGTATGGGTTGAGGAGTAACGACTTAGTAAAGAGTCAAATTCAACTTACAAATGTAAAAATCGAGCAATAGTAGAACACACCATTTGTAAATAGTCATTTTAATCTCCTCTGTGTTTTATTTTTACATTCCCTATACGTATGTAGTTTTCAGTATTTGAAAGTTGTTGCTGACTGGTTTAAATTAAGAGGCTTGCATCAGATCAGCACATCCTGCAACTGTAACAGGATATGACCTGGTTTGTAGTGAAAGGTCTCCAGAGTGATAAGAGAGGGACTTTTTCTCATCAGGCCAGAGACGTACGTTTGTGGTCAAGACTTTTTGTAAGTGGCTTTTTAACGCAGACTCGTGACAAACAACACATTTAATAACTAACAACATTCATCTCTCAATTAATTCACCTCAAGCATCATTTTACCAGCTCACACAACTGGAGGCAACCTGTCCAGGGTGTACCCCACCCATCGCACTGTGACTGCTGGATATGGGCACCTGTGACCCTCAAAGGAAGAAGTGGGTATAGATGATGGATAAAACACATTTCACTCTTTTCCACAATAAGCACAGGTAGCAAAAGTGAGACACAAATAAAGCACTGCTGCCTGAACTGAAACACAGCAACTCAAAATAGATCACACAGAGTCTAATGATGTGAACAAGCCAATACAAGGCAGTACAAGGAGCCCTGGTCATTGAAGCTTCACTATGAATAGAAAAAAATCATAGAGGCAAATACGCTAAATACTGGATGCACTTTTGTTGTTGTAATGGATTTGTCCACTTAGATGGAAACAAACAGTACATATACAGTATATCATTTATTTATAGGCTATACACCCACACATCATATAGACTGGAGGTCCCACAGTCAAAGTGAGAGTCACCACCTAAGCTACATAGGACATCCTGATCTAGACTGACAAACAGGTTTTGTTTAACCAACTGGTGGTCAGCAAGCACGAGAAGAAGGCAGCAGTGATAGATGTAGAGATCATACGTGACTGAAACACCAGGAAGAAGAAAAACGAGAGGCTACCAAGAGAAAAAAGAAGAAGGTATGGAGAGTCCATGCATCAACTGTCCAAGTGGTCACTGGAGCGCTTGGTGCTGTGACCCCCAAACTAGAAGAGTGGCTTCAGCAGATCCAAGGATGAACCTCAGAGATCTCTGTCTAGAAGAGTTTACTTGTAAGAACAGCTAAGATAAAAGTGTCATGAGACTCTCTCTTCTGTCTCTCAAACTGAATTCTCCAAAAGTCTGTGATTACTCCATCAATATTTGAGACGTGTACTCACGAATCACCGAGAAATTTGTGGAATTTAATCCTCCCAATTGTGGTTTCTGCCTCGAAATCAGGAAACACTTCTCCGAGCAGCAGACCTGGCATCTTGCAAGAGTGGAGAGGGTTATGTGTTCGACAGCAGCTCCAACTGAGAGAGAGAGAGAGAGAGAGAGAGAGAGAGAGAGAGAGAGAGAGAGAGAGAGAGAGAGAGAGAGAGAGAGAGAAAAGTAATTAAAATTCATTATAATAGCAAAAAAGTGGATAAATAAGAATTAAAAATAGATTGACAGATTTCCAAAAGACAGAGACCCTTTTTTAACCTTTAATAAAACTTTTATTTTAGTTCTTTTTACAGATTAAGAAAATAGTATTCCAGTAATTCCAAAACTTACATTTGATGAATGTATTGTTATCTAGAAAGACACGACTGAATCTTGAGACAAACTGTGTAAAGATCTGGTTGTACTTCAACAAGATGTACAGTAAGATTTCAGACCTCACAGATCTAATCTGAGACTTTTTTTTACTCAAAGAGAAACTGCAGGTGAGAAGTCCTGGTAAAGTCCCCTCACTTTCCACCCACTGCCGTACACATCGCACAAAATCAGAGTCAACACAGACAGGTTGTCTGACAGGAAGGTTCATTTTTTAACTGAGGAGAAGTGCTGTTAGGTCAATTTCTCACAAAACAATCACCACTTTTTCCAACAAATGATGCAGGAACGTGTCTCTAAGCTGCCCGGTGGAGGAGCAATTCCTTCTGGTCAGCATCACCAAATAGACCTGTTGGTTCTCCGTGCTTTCTTCTCCAGTCTCCTTCCATAAGCTCTTCTACTGTCTTTCTAAGTTTTTATTTTACTTTCTTCATCATTTTTACTGGCTTAGTTGTAATGCTGGCTGTATTTTCTCACAGCTTCAGCCAGCAGCTCTTGAGCTGATGATGCTCACTGCAGCCACTTTTCATCAAAGTCCTGACCAATCACAGGATTTTATTAGTTATTTAGACACTGATTTAAAAGCACCACACCATTTTGTAGTTTTCTTTATTAAGTATTGACTTTTATAATCTATTGTTTGACAGTTGTTATGTCTTGATTAAAATAATTTTAGTTACATGCCTGAAACACCATGACAACACATAGATAAACCGTTAATGAAACATAAGGACAGGATATCTGTTTGAGTGCCTGAGATTCAGCCATAGGCTTGTAGGGGGCGAACCAGGCACTGAAGAACCATGTTATAAAAGGGGGCACTTCCGGTTTCCCGGCAGCGCTGGTTTCCTACTTCAGCCATGAGCATTAAATCACCGTTCAGACTCCAGTACTGGATTGTATGGTCATTCTCTTCAAATTTTAATCTATTCAACATTCTTGTGGTTTATACCTAGCCTGGTCCTTGCCTTCCTACGCAGCTCCGCTCAATTCTAGTTTCCCTTCACTGCTCCGTCTGGGACTTCTCCCATTAACAAGGATTTCGCTGGCAGATTTTTAGCTGGGCCAATCAGAGAAGAGAACGTCAATTTTCTGCGCGGTGTCTCTTGTAGTTTATTTTACCTGGGCCAATCAGCAAACAGAAGGCGGAGTTTTGAACGATGTCGATTTTCTGTGCAGTGTCTGCTAGTTGGTTTAGCATACGGCAGTGGAAGAAGTGAATGAAGCCAGTCTGTGTTGATATGGCTTCCAAATTAAAATAAATATGTCTGACAAAGCAGCAGCTCTCATTTAAGTCGTCTCGTTCGGCTCAGAATATTTCTCCTCTCAGTAGGGTTGTTTACAGCACACGCGATTTCCGGTTAGCTTCTTAGCTTAGCCTCCATCACAGCGACAACACATACATGCTTCAGCAGAGGCCACGCCTCCTGCTAGAAATCGATTCTCTATGCATCAAGTCCAAACCCTTGTACGAAGCAAAGTGAAGGACAGGGTCTGGTTTGAACCAGGCTAGTTTATACCTGGTTTTGTCATGATTTCAGTAAACAAACACTAAATTATCTTACAGCATGTAGTTCTATTTGTTTATTTATTAACCGTTATTTAACTAGACAAATCCCACTGAGTATGCAGATCTCTCATTCAAGGGAGGCCTGGACCTATAGGCAAGGGGGAAACCGAAGTGCCTGGAGAAAACCCACACAAGCACGAGGAGAACATGCAAACTCCACACAGAAAGACCCCAAACCGAGGATTGAGCCGAGGATCTTCTTGCTGTGAGGCGCTAGTTTTAACCACTGATCCATCGTGCTGCCAACTGGCTGCGATACACTACACTGGGTATACAATACGACACATGCACCCACATCAGTGAGACATTAGCAAGGGGCTTCTCATTGAGTATAAATCAAGCACACCACCAAACAAGGTAGTCCACCATGGACTGTCTCTGCAATTCTGCTCTATAAGGGCTAGGAAGTCAAATGATACACAGGGGCTGTGTCCACATTCAGGGTCTCTTTGAAGGACCCGGCTGTCAGAGTGGACATTAAATTACCCCTTAAAGAGAAACAAACCAGACAGAGACGTAAGCATTCAGTT